CCCCCCCCCCCCCCCCCGCGCGCACCTCGCCCCTCGCAAACAAAAAATGCGCGCGCACTCGTTCATTGCAAATCGTCAAACGTAAAGAACCCCTTGCCGAACAAATGACAAAGTGCAAACGCGCGCGTCGTCGCGCAAAGACTCCCACATCGGATGCACATCTTTGTTTTAGAAAACAAGCGATTGTTCTGCAGCGGGGTGCTTCAGAAAAGGGCCGCGCGCGCCCTTGCGAATTTCCGACGCAAACATGCGTTATTTCAGCATCTCCGTCACATGTGACCAATCGTGCCTCTCGCGCGTGCACGTTGAAATCATTCGAGCGCCCTTGCGCGCTGAGGATGTCGCATGACGCAATGGGGCCCACTCGCGCCCGTCGGCCGCGCGCGCGTCGAAATCCCCACGCGCGGGCGCGCGGGCGCCGACGCCGTTGGCGGCGGCGTCGCTGGCCTCGCCCACATCGCCATCATCGTCGTCGCCAGCATCGCTACAATCATCGCCTCGTCCGCCGTCGTCGACGTCGCCGCGGTGTCGCGCCCGCCCGAAACACCAGCTCGCGCCGAGGCGCCAGCGCGGCCTGCGAGACGCGCTGGGACGCCCCCAACGATCATCGCCGCCGCGGCCGTCGGTCGCGCCAAGACTAGCCGGCCAGCCGCTCTGCGCGCGAGCCTGCGCGCTTGCGCGGCCGCAGCGACGCGCCAGCCAGCGCCGAGCAGCCATCGCCATCGCCGCAGCATAATCGTTGTAAACCCAATTGCGGTGGGGCGGCGGGATGCGAAGTGACAGTTTCATGTTCGGCAGGGTGAACCGCGCCGCATATATTGCGCATCATAAATCACATTCCATAGATTACAGCACCTCTCCGTGGGTGCGGATTTCATGCGTGACTTTGTCCTACTGTTTTACTGAATGTGAATGCGTATCGTTCCAGCCAAACTGGCCGTTCGACCCCCCCTTCAGCTGCGTGAAATAATAATTCGCGCGCTCGCGCGTGCATCAAAAACCATGAATGGCCAAAACCCTGCGCAACGGAAAAAGCCAGGACGATTTAACGAGGGCTACCAGTGGCGGTCGCAGTCTGCCTGGACGCCCTGCCCCATCTCAGCCCTCTCAGATCAGGCCAGGTCCGCCGCCTCGAGAATGCGACCGATAGACACACAATACACGTAGCAACCTGGCGTGGCCCATGACCTCGGCCATGCCGCTGCACTCCTTGATCGCCGCGCGGAGCACCGGTTGCCGACGTCGAACCAGTAGATGACGAGGTAGTGGCAGGGACAATACTCGGCCGCGGCATCTTCCGCCGCGCGCCGATGTGTCGCACCCCCGCATCCGCACAGGCGAAAGTCGGGCGCCCCGCGCGCCGAACCGTTGAATTTCTCCTCGGCGTTATCCCGCCGCTTCTGCGGAAGAGAAGGAGGATGGGGAATAGGAGAGGAGGAGGAGGAGGAGGAGGAGGAGGAGGAGGAGGAGGAGGAGGAGGAGGAGGAGGAGGACGCATCGTTCCACGATTCCCCCCCCACCTGCGAATTGGTTCCTGTATTTGCTCGTTGGGCGGGAGCGAGCGCCTTCCTTCTCCCCTCCTTCCCCCCGGCATCCCGCCTCCGACGCCGCCTGCGTCGCCCGCGTCTCGCACGCGGCGCCCCACTTCGCATCGTCGCTCGGACGCCCACCCCCCCTGCGTGTCGACCTCGTGCGCTGACTTCGTCGCGAGATGACCCAATGCGCTCCTCGATAGCCCTCGCCGAGAAAAAAGTGCACGCGCCCAGGCGACACCAAGACAGCCTCTCGCCTGCCACATACCGCTGTCGTCGGGCCCGGCGCCCTGCGACCCGTGCGCACGTGCGCCCTGGGCCCTCCCCGCCACAGCGGCGACCCGAGCTGCGAACCCACGACGCCTGGACGCCCTGCCGCCAGCGGCGCGGTGGCCAAGCAGCCTCTCTCCGAAACTCACTGCGCACCGCGTCTAGACGCCCTCCGCCGCCAGGTTGTTCGTCGAAGTCGCGCGGCTGGCGGGCTGCTGCAAGCCCTGCGAGGTGAGGAGCTCGACGTGGCAGAGCTGCGTACGGATGGGCTTCGCGCGACCGTTCTGCTGGGCCCCCGACGGGCCGTCGACGTCGATGGCATCTTTGCAGCGAGTGGCCCTCTGGTCTGTCAACAGAACTTTCCCGAACAAAAATGTTCGACCGTCCTTGCAACCGACCAACTATGAAGTCCCTGCTCTCCTTTTGGCTCTTGCGTTTCGGTGGCGCGTCGCGCATGGCGACAAGGATCGACAACGTTTTGATGGCTCCTGCAAATCCACAGCGCCGCCGCTGCTGGAGGCAACGACCAGAAAGCGCTGAACGAGAATGAACGACTCTGCAACTGTCTCGGCCATGGTATCGCGCTCCATCTCTGGCACCTTAGCGCCTCCGCTAGCGGCAATCCTAAAAACGTTTTGGCCTCCACGACATTGCTCCACGAGTCCGCCTCCGACTTGCCCGGGACTTCCTGCACGGCCGATGGGGACAATGACGAGATGGCGTGACTGCGGGTTACAGCGCAGTCGCGGAGAGGCCGCCGCCGACGCGCACCCAGGACGTGAATCCGACGCTGCGCAGGCAGCCAAGCGGGCCGGTACAATATGGAACGCTGGGGCGCAGCCGCGCAGGAGGTGGGATGTCCAGAGAGCGGTCACAGCCTGTCTTCCACGCCCACGACGTGCCATCAAACAGCCTCCCAAATCCCAGTCCTGCATCGTTCTCCTTCACCACCTCCTCGTCCTCCTACCTCCCTCCCTCCTTCCTCGTTTTCCCCCTCCTCCTTCGTGTGCCTCCTTATCTCTTTTTCTCACGTATTCCTGCTGCTCCACCTTTATCCCCGCGAGCGCGACGAGGGGGGAAGGGGCAGGAGAAAGTAGGAGGGGAGAAACGAATGAAGGGGACGGGAGGACTACACAAGGTATGTGGACCGAGACCGGGAGGAGTTGGATAGAGGACGAGGAAAACAAGGAAATAATACATCTATATATATATATAGAGAGAGAGAGAGAGAGAGAGACACACAAAGGAGGGAGGAGGAAAACAGGCAGAATGGAAGTCTTCTGGCCAGCAGCCTGTGTTCGACCCTGTCCCCACAAAAATGACCACGGAAAACCGAAGTACACGATTTTGTCCCTCTGATTCTGCTGTGGGCCTCCTGATCCCACCCCGCCAAGGGATCCACAATTGTGAGCTCCAGAAGGAGAAGGAGGCACTCCGTCCCAGAGAAGGGAGCGAGATCACCGAGACGGTCCTCGAACGGCCTACCTTGCGGGGCCTCAATCAACTTCCCCAGAAAGGCAAGAAAAAACACCCTGTAGGCCCGCAGCACGGACCCACAGGCCGGCCGAACATCAAACACCGAACCCCAACAACCATAGATATATAATATGTAAATACATATTATCTGTGTTCAACAGCCAACAGAAGTTCGTTGAGCGCCCTAGCGAGCTCATACACACTTCAAGTAAACCCCCGACACAAAAGGGATCGGGGGATGCGGCCTCAACCTATAAATCAAACAATCGGCCGCTGCTGTTTTCTGTTATGGTGTCAGATGTTCTGGTCGATTCTGAAAACTCAAATGTGATGCTGGGTGTGCGTCTTATACAGTATTGCAATGTGGCCTTGCTTGTCATCCTCTAATATCTTGTACTCTGCTTTTGAACCACGATGTTCAACTCGGTTCCGCTCACCTGAGGTGTTGGTATGACCTGCTACGTCATGCTATATGTTCGCATGCTCCCCCATGTTCTTACATGATTTGAGTATGTGATTTCTGCTTGTGGTATGTTGTGGTATGCTTCGGGCTACTATCTTAGGTGCTAATCTGCTAGATCGGGTCATACCATTTTGTGGTACGTGTTGTTCGGCCCTGTTCTCTTCAACCATACAATAGTAAGCTCATGTATGTTCTGGCTGTGGCAATTGTAGTACTAGTAGAGGAACGAGCGCGGAGGCGGGCAACTGTATGTTCTGGCTGTGGCAATTGTAGTACTAACAATGAAAGGCGAGGCGGGGGGCGGGACACTCGGCGCAGTATGCAGGGTGGCCGGGTCGGGAGCTCTCTTCCTAAAACCTAGCAGCCCCAACCTGTCGGGTGGGGAAAGAGGAACTCCCTCTCCCCACTCTGTTCCTCCTTCTTCACCCCCTCTTCCCCTACTTCTCCTCATCGTCGACCGTCGACCGCCGTCGACCGTCGATCGCCGTCGACTGCCAATCACACGACATCGACCGCCGTCGACCCTTCTTCGTCGACCGTTGTCGACCGTCGGCCGTCGATCCGATCATCGATCGGCGGGCAACTGCGGCTCAGCGCCGGCAGGCACGGTCGTGTCCGGCAGGGGCTTCCTCACGACGCGGCGGCGACGTCTCGCCCCTGCAGCGCCCGGCGCTCCAGGAGGGCCTGACGGGTCCGCCGTCGACATCGCCGCCGCCAGAGCGGTCGCCGTCTCTGTGGCCGTGGCCGCCGCCGCCGTCCCAGCGCTGTGGCCACCGTCGCCGTCGTCGTACTCGTGACCGCGGCCACCGCGGCCGTCGCGCTCGCTGTCGCCGTGGCCGTGGCCCAGGCCGTCGCTGTCTTTGATCGGCAGGGCGGCGGATCAGCCGACGACGACGACAACGACGACGATGACAACGACAACGACGACTACGTCCTCGTCGACATCGCCGCCGTCATCGACTTCAGATCTCATTGCGACGCAAAGGTCGTCGTCTCGTCATCTCGTCTACCCAGACCTCTGGGAACCGGGAGGGGGGGAACACGATGGCCTCCTCATCCCTGCTAACCACTCTCCACCCCTCCGTCCCGTCTCTCCTTACCTCTCCTCCGACCTCTTCCCTCCCTTCTCCTGTCACGTCACCTGACCTGCCCTTTCTCCCCCCTCCATCCTCCCGCCCCATTCCTTTGCCATCTCCCCTTGTCATCCCGTTTCCTCCCCAGTCCTTCCTCCCTTTTCCCTCCCCTCCTCCTCCTCCTCC